CCAGTTTCCATCTCAACTAATCTAATGAAACTTCTTTCTCCAAGGTCACTAATGACCAATGACCTTTTCTCAGCTCTTTGCCTTCATGTTTCTGCAGCATTTGACCTCATTTGCCAGCTACTCTTTCTTAATACTTTTGCTCTTTTGGCTTATATGACACTATAATTTCATGGTTCTAATTTGGCCTTTGACCTCTTTTTCCTCTGTCTCCACTGATTTTTTATCCTTTTATCCTTATCCATCACTTGAATACAGGTGTGCTTGAAGGCTCTCTCTTTGATCAAAGATAAATTCAAAGTTGTGAACATGGGACATAAGGTGACTCATACAAATATGATGAACTTTTAAGCAGGGTCATCTGTAGGTCTAGAGTTCAGAAGAGAGGTCAGGACTGGAAATTTAGAGTGAGTCATCTGAATAGGATGATGGTTAAAGTCAGAGAAGAGAACGGGTAAGAGAGCATTCAAAGAGAAGGAGCCAATAACAGATCCACAAGAAACATTTCCATCAAGCACTTGGGTGGAAGATGAGGAATCAGAGAAGTCAACAAAGAAGATAAACCTAAAGATGTAAGAAAACCAGGAGATAAGAGTGTGGCATTTCTGAAAGGAAAGGAAAAGATAATAGCCTTCAATAGCAAGTGGTAAATAGTGACAAAAGCTGAAGAGCGGTCAAGGAGGATGATGACTACAAAAAGCACTTCGATTTGGGAACTGGATAGTCATTGGTGACCACTGAGAGACCACTTTTATCAGAATGTTGTTAGCGAATGACAAATTACAAGAGATTGAGTAGAGAGTGAGTAGGGAAATGAAAGCATTGGGGATAGCCAGATCTTGCCTTTTCAAAAAGTTTAGCAATAAAATGGAAGAAAGGGATAGAATGGAATGGTGGTTAGGATGCATAGAAAAGTCAAGGAAAGACCTTTTTTAACAATTGGAAAGAAATGGCCATGCTTGCCTACAAAGAGAAAAGGTGTCACATGTTGGGATGTTCTCTACACCACATTTTAGGAAGAACACTGGCTGGAGTATATCCAGAGAAAAGTAACCAGAATGAGAAGTAAACTCAAAATCGTGCCATAGCAACATCTAGGCCTATGAATGTTCAATACAAAAAAGAGAAAACAATGTGAGGGTATGACAAATGTCATCAAATATTTTAAGTACTATTATGTGGAAGAGGGATTAGATAAACGAATGAACAAATGAATGGAAAAGCCTTTATTAAATGCTTACTATATGATAAACACTATGTAAAGTGCTGGGGCACAAATATAAAAGTGAGATAGTCCATGCATTCAAGAAGTTCTCAAAAAGACTACATATATCAAAGGGTGGATAGAATGACCTCAGCGGTCCTTGGGTGCATCCTCATGGAAGATGGAAATTCCAGGAGGTTTGAAGTCTGTAGTGGCAGGGTATATGATCAGGCCAAATGAATTTCAAGGGGCAGAATTAAAATCAGTGGAAGTTATAGATGCCATCATTAGTTCAACTCAGTGACGTTAACAATTAGAACTGCCTCACAGCAAGATAGGCCACTTCAGAAGATGATAATTTCCCAATCATTTGATTTCTTCAAGTTGAGGCTATGTGATATTAGAGATGTTTTAGACAGGATTCATCTTGCCAGTAATGTCTGAACTAGACTTCTGTGTTCCCATCTAACTTTGGAATTCCATGATCCTACTATCCCTGTCTCTGAACTTTTCCCTCTCTCATACATCCTCCCAATGGAAGAGCAATGGAGTGAATAGAGGATGGTAGTAAGAATTAAGAAAATCTGGGTTCCAATATCGCATCTGATTCTTAATATCTGTATGACCCTGGTTAAATCACTTAACTTCACTCAGACAGTTTGTTCAACTGAGCTTCAGTTTCTGTGAAAATGGGGACAACACGAATATGTTGGGTAGATTTCCTACGACAAATTTATGGGAAAACATGCACAAGGACTGCACAGGATGAATAGGGTGCAATTTGCATGTTGAATGAAACTTCTAAGGCAATGAGAAAAGATGATACACGTAAAGAGTTTTGGAAACCTTAAAGCACTGTATTAATGACAGATATTACTATTATTATTATCTCCAGAGGTGCCCAATGCCTATGTTATCCTACTAATGTGGCAGTATGTTCACATCACTTCTAATATTTCAGTGGCTACCTGTTTCCTAGCAAACAAAGTAAAAATTCCCAATCCTGTCATTCAAAGCCACCCCCAGTTTGATTCCCACTTAACTTTCCAGGCTCTCTCACATTCTTTCACATAATCTGAATTCCAGCCAAATTGCACTCTCAGAATCACTCATTATGGTTCTGCCCTCTCCTTTGCTCGAACTAGCCCCCCATAATTGAAATTAACTCTCCTCCCCTCTTTTTTCTCTTAAATTCTTTCTTTAAGGCTCAACTTACTTGTCACTCTTCCCATGAAACTCACCCTAACCTCTCCCATTGAAAATGGCCTCTTCCTCTTCAAACATCTCTTGGGTTTTTGCACTTGCCACATTCTTCCTTGCATTATTTATGTGTGTGTATATCCACTCTATTAACCTGTCAGGTCACTAAGGACACTGATAGTAATTTGCTTAATCTTTGTATCTTCATCCTAGGATGAGACCCTGCAGTTGGTTAATAAATATTTGTTCAATCAAACTGAATTTATTAAGTCAACATGTTAATTCCCTTTTCTATCAACTTTGATCCAAAGTTGATCATCATCAATTCATAGCATTTGGAAACATGTAACTTCTAGTATCTACAGCATCATTTGGCTAGGAAATCAAACTGTTAAAAATTTTATATAGGAGGAATAATGGACCAATTTTATTTAAGGTTCAAAAGGCCATGCTGTGTTTTTATTATTCTCCATAGTAATCTCTCCTACTTGGAATAATTCTGATGCCATGAATATAGCAAACCTTTTATTTTGGAAACAACAGTCTCTTCCAAACATTGTACTCAAAACATCTATAACTGGGTATATTACACCTGAACAGAGATAAATATAGGACTTTAATATGCTCATCCGTTTCATTTCCTCCAATAAATCTACGTTACAGTTATCTATAAGAACACTGAAACAAGGTACCGATTAAAGAACAAGGAATAAAAATAAGAATTAGGAGAGAATATACTTACAGAAACTTAGAATGATTGAAAAATCACTAAATACTATATGTAAGCTATCAAAATGCATTTATTTTCTGCCTTAATAACTTTTAAGCCTCAAACTTGGTATAAGTATAATTTCATATTTCATAATTAGGCACTAAATCAACTATACTTTTGCATATCATAATTATTACCTAGTTGTCTCATCTTAATCATCAACAGCATTTATTAACCACCTACTGTGCATAGAGTACTCTAATGAGTAATAAGAGACATGTTAAATTAATTTGAAATGTTCCATAAGTATTTCAAAACCATAGTAAGTCAACATAGTTATCTCTATTAATCCCTGGCTTCAAATACAATATTTGACTGTTATATTATGAAATAAAATCAGTATGTAAAATCACTTTAGTGACAAATATATTCATAAACACCTCATTTTTGGCAAAGGTCTCAAAATATTTCATCATAACAACTGAAAAATATTCAATTATTACGCGTCCATTCATGGGAGGATAACTACACTCTGTATCACCAAACTCCAAGGTGGCTCCAGAAATCATGGAATCTTTCCAATGCCTAGACTCCCACAGGACAGTCAAAGCAGCTCCAGAAACTGCTGATTGTCCTGCTCTGGGCCCAGATGATGGGTGTGCAGTCTAGTACAAATTTCCCCAAATATAAAACACAGTCAACCAATAGATTCTGAAGACCATAATGATCTATCATCAAGCAATAGCCTCAACCACACCCACTTTCCCCATCTAGTCATTTCATTGTTAGGACACACTCTCCTGAACTTCACCTCATATCCCTGCTTATCCCTGGTGAATATTATCAGGCCTTAGAAAAATAAAATGACATCCCTCCTAGCAAACAGTTTGGAAGCCCCTAATCTAGGAGCTTAGAGGATCGTAACTTTGGAGCTAGAAGGGACCTCAAAAGCAATCTAGTCTAACCTCTTCATTTTATGGCTGAAGAAACTGAGACCCAAGCAGGTTGAGTGATTGCCCCTTAGTCACACACACACACACACACACACACACACACACACACACACACACACACATCACCCTGAGCCACTCAAAAGGATCTGCTCCTTATCATGGGCTCTCCTCAATTTTTAGAGATTCCTCAAATCAAAAGTTTCATAACATCGAAAAATTATATTTGATTTAATAAGCATTGAAGATAGGTCCTGAAGCACTTTACAGCTAGCTTAAGTACAAATTAGACCCTTCACAACAGGCTAGCATGGACTACCAGTGGCCAATCCTTTGTCCCAAACCCAAAGCCCAGAATATCATTAAATTATTATAATGTTTATACTTAGTGAGGGGAATATAATATTAACATTTCAAATGTGTCATTAAGGAAATTTTAATAATCTCCTACATATAATCAACTTCACAGTGCATTGTTCACAAGAATCCCTGCTGGATACTGGTGTGGACTTGTTAGCTCTTCTGCTAGAACTAAGACTAGATTGCAAATCTGATTTACCTACACCCCCAAATTTTAACTGTAGAAAATGTTGAGTTTAGAAAGTCATGTTGTGAAAAAGTAAAGTGACATTCAAGTTTTGTTTCATGGAAGATTAAATAAAATCTTCTTAAATAGAATTCTAAAGAGGTATGCTCTCTTAAGAAGTCAAATAAATTATAATCAATCATTTTACACTTTAATTATATATAAAAAAGATCTTAAAATGTTTTTCTTTCAGATATATAATCGCACATCAAACTAGTTCTTAATGAAAAGCAATTGTCATGCATCAGCTCTTTAAAATAACAAAACATAAAAATAATCATAAATTCTAAGTGTGAAGTTATCAACAGTGCTATTATCAATAAATAGAAGAAGACAGAAAAAGGCTCTAACCACTTTGTCCTCCTGGTGGGAAGGTCCATGAAAGCAAGAAAAAAAGGACAGAGAAAGAAAAGGAAAAAAGAATTACTACCATTCTGAAAGCAAATAAGATTGTTCATAAATAATAAATTTTAGAAAAGTATAAAGTAACATCATTTGATTCAACTATGAAAACTGTGATAGGAAAAGAATAATATAACAATTTTAGTTTAGGTTTAAAAAGCATGCTATGTTTTGTAGTAAGTAGTAAGATCCATGCAAATAGAACTATTTCCACAAGAGCAAATTAATTCCCCAACGTAATCAGAAAAAAAAAAAAGATTTCTACATGGACAAATGAATTCCTGAGTAATTGATCTCTAATAGAAAAATTGACAAAATCATGAGAAAGATTCTATATACAGAGTCAATAAACACACACCGTTCTTAGCTTTTCACCTGAATATTATAGAACCTCATCCTACCAGAAAAAATTCTGTTCTCATTTGAAGTCACTATATTGTTGCTAAAGCATTAAAACCAGGGTGGGCTTTGTCTGAGTAACTAAAAGAAGTTTTTAATACTGAGAAAATTACTGACAATAAAGTTGTAACACTGAAACTAACATTTTTTCCCAACATAGTATGTGACAATTTCTTTAAGTAAAGATAAGGATTACACTTGTGATCTCACCGGTACAGGTAACTCTTGAATGAGGAGACACCTTTTACTAATTCAGGTCAGCATATTCTCTTAAATTTATAGTCAGTATTGCAACTCTGTGACTGTAAGTCAGAGCCCTGACAGGGTTGCAACTCAGTTTCAGAGAATGTGCTGAGCCCCTTTGGGTGTCAAACCTGCAGCCCACATAGGCAGCAGTTATCACAATCCTGAGTGCCACTCGGAATCAGATTAAAATGTAATTGGGAAATATTTAACAAAATAAATAATTCAATAAAACATAAATAACATCACCTTTTGGGAGTCAATATGTGGCCTGAAGGGATATTTATGTGTAGATGAGTGGCCCCATTGCTATTTTAGTTTGACAGCACTGGTCTAGAACACTAAGTTAAATCATTTTCAAAGGATCATATGGCTAGTATGTGTCAGAGGCAGGATGTGAACCCAGGTCTTCCTGGCTTTGACAGCAGCTTTCCAACTAAGCCATTATACTGCATCTCTTCTTTAAATTATAATCTTAAAATATAGATCCAAGTAAGAAAAGGGCAATAATGACTTTTTTGCAAGACAATTGGGCAATGATTGCCCAAGGTCACACAGCTAGTAAGTGTTAAGTGCCGGAGGCCAGATTTGAACTCAGGTCCTCCTGACTCCAGGGCTGGTTGGTGTTCTATTTACTGTGCCACCTAGCTGCCCCAATAATGATTTTTTTGGTCATCAATAATGCTCATTTCATGCTTTTATGATCTAAAATATATGAATGCTTATTTCACATCTTAGTCAAATGGAATCTTTCCAGAGTTAGATAGATGAAATGATTACCACATTCTAAACATGTCTCTTCCTATTTCATGACCACACTACAACATTTCTTTTTCTCTTTCAGTAGATAAGTAGATGATAGATGGATAAACAGAAGCATATAGTATATGCCTACATACATACATGCATGCTTATAGAAAGAGAGACAGAGAGAGATGTATTTAAAATGACAATAATAAATACCTCCCTTGGCAAAGATGACAAAAAATGGTCACAGTCAACATTGGAGGGGTTGTGGAACAATAAGCACACTAACATATTTCTGATGGAGCTATGAAATGATATAATCATTTTGGAAGGCAATTTGGAATGATGAAAATAAAGTGACTAAAATGTTCATAATCTTTGAACCAGAGGCTCCTTTACTGGACCTAAGGAAGCCACTGATAAGGAGGTCCTCATATATGCCAAAATATTTAGAGCAGTACTTTTTGTGAGAGCACAGAATTGAAAACAAAGTAGATGCCCATCAGTCATGGAATGGCTAAGCAAACTGAGGTGCATGAATGGAATGGAATAAATATTACTGTGCTGTAAGAAATTATCAATGTGATGAATACAGAGAAGCGTGGAAAGATCTACATGAACTGATGCAAAGTTAAGTAAGCAGAAGCAAGAAAGCAACATATACAATAACTACAGCAACACAAATGGAAAAATCTACATACCAAAAAATAAAAAAATTAATGTTACAAGAATATAAAGATCAAACACGAAGGGACATGAAAAGATATTCCCAATCTACCCCTTTGTGGAGATGGGAGGTCCACAAATTTTCCGCATTATACATGTTTTGGGACTTTTTCAATACATCGATCAGTTGTGCTGACTTCTCTTTGGTTTTTTGGAGGGGTTTTTTTGTCTTTAAGAAATACTATTTGTTATATGAGGTGGCCTTCTTGGGAGGGAAAAGGTGGATCCTGGGGAAAACTATGATGATGTGAAAAAAGACATTAAAAAACTTGTTTTAAAAATATTTCTCTATTCTACATTTAGAAATCAATTGTCACTATTTGGAATATGAAACAATATTCTGATTTGTTAAAAAAAAAAGTAAATGTTATTTCTGCTACTTAGTTATCATGGGCTTTATAGGATAGGAAAAGGGACTGAACGTTATTTCATTGGCATAGGGAATTCTTGGATGAGGAAATTCCCTCTACTTATGCAGATCAACACCTTCTCTGCAACTTTTATACAGTCTTAGAGAGTTAGCTAGAACAAAGGTCCCCAACTCACTATCCCCAGCTGCATGCAACCCCTAACACTCCCACATATACCCAGAACTGAATAAAAATGTAATTGGGAAATATTTAACAAAAATAAATTAAAATGCAGTAAGATACACATAACATTAATTTGTGGTTTTCTAATGCAGCCTGCAAGGATCCTTTTCTATTTGAGTATGACACCACTGGCCTAGAGCAGTGAGAAGTAAAGTGACTTGCCCAGGTTCACTCAGTCAGTAGATGTCAGAGGCAGGACATGAACTCAGGTCTTTCTAGAGCCAAGGCTTGCTGTCTATGACACTATGACACATTGCCTGTTTATTAAATCCTATTCATTTTATTTTGCAATGTCACAGCTACGTACCATTTTTAGGCTGATGTCCAGAAATAGGGAATAATAGGCTTCCTAAACTCAAGTCATAGATTTTATTTATTCTTTCATCCAGCATTTATTAAGCATCTCCTATGTGCTAGGCACTATACTTGATGTAGGTGATTTGAAGAGAGAAATGAAACAATCTCTGCCCTCAGGGAGTTTTTTGTGGATTTTTAAGACATGGAAGCCTACTTTATTAAAGGAAGAAGATTCCCAGTAGCCTGCAGGTGTGAAATACTCACCAAACTGAAAGAAAGTGACAGAATGTTCTCTTGATGCTGATAATTGTTAAAATAAGCTTGTTAAGAAGTCATCCCTTGGGTATGTGTGACAAAAGGTTTAGCAAACTTTGAGTGCTTGAAAAACACAGAATTAGTGTTCAGTTTGAGTGACTGTATGAAAGTGGAAAGAGTAATTAGTGAAATGAAGCAGCTGTATAGAATTGGTGAGAGTGTTAAGTGCTGAGCCAGTGATTAACCATGTTGGTTGGGGAGCTTGATTTTCAGGGAGTGTTGAGGGCTGAATGACCAGGCAAACTAAGAGTACATTTTCAGACTCTGGGTGGACTCTCTGAGTCAATTCTATTTTCAGAGTGTGTAAGTGAATACTAAGTTATAGATATATGAGGACACTGGGTTATAGGATGAGTCAGAAGCATGCTTATGTCTATGGAGCTGCTCAGAAAACTGCGTGGACCTGGTTCCTGATATCAAACCTCAATAATCCTGAAGCAGTGATGACAGAGCCTTGGAAGATATGATCAATCTGACTGACACAATTCTGAGCCCCAGGAATGTCCACACATGGGAAAGGAAGTGCTAGAAAGAAAGGACCATGGAGAAGAACAAAAGATGATAGACATACAGACATAATACGAGAATGCTTCTTAGGTCACTGTAGCGCCTATGTCCAGTAATGGTGGTGGTGGTGATAGTAGTACTAGTAGTAGTAACAGTAGTGATGGTACTAGTGGTAGTGGTGGCAATGGTAGTGGTAGTAGTAATAGAAGCAGCATAGTAGATTGCTACCTTGTGCTCTCTGGGACTGTCACCTCTCATTTTGGACACCAAGTCTCTCTTCATGCAGCCTGAAGGACTGAGTTAGCCAGAAGAAAATCATGAGAATGTGTATAATGCAAGGGCCCATTTCAGTGAGAGTTAGACTAAATAATTGCTAATTCTAAGACCTATGATGCTATTAACTATCATGATGTAATGGAAAAAGCATAAGACATAAAGTCAGAAAACAGAATTGAACCCAGGTTCTGCTACTTACTGGCTACCTAACTATGGGCAAGTCATTTAACTTTTCTGAGCCTCAACTTCCTCTTCATAAAATGCAATACTAATATCAAAGCACTGTCATGAGGGAAAACCTTGGTAAACTGTACAGGACTGCATAAGTGTACATCAGCATTAGCAAATTTATCATTCACAGCATTGCTGTATTTCTATTTCTATCACCAATCATTGGCAGATGAATGGAATGTTCCTTAGTTTACTGCAATTACTACAACCTATAATAGCAGTAGGAGAGACAGTAGCTTACTCTCTCATCAGGACAGGGACCACGAAGCATCTAAACTCTCTTTCTCACCCAAAACTTAACACAGTGCTCTGCTCGTAGTAAGCTAGCATTTATTTAGCACTTTAAGGTTTGCAAAGCTCTTTACATGCAATATCTCATTTGATCCTCACAATAATCGAATAAGATAGATGCTATTATCATTCCTATTTTACATACCAGGAAACTGAGGCTGAGAGGTTAAGTGACTGGCCAAGGGCCACACAGCTAGAAAGTGTCTGGGATAGGATTTGAACTCAGGTCTTTAAATGAATACAATGAATGTTTGTTTAAAAAAAACAATCTAATGAACTCCCATTGCTTCAACTACCATGGCTCCCAAATCTGTGACTCCTCTTCTGAGCTCCATA